GGTCTGGGCCTCCCTTCTGAAGCTGCTGCCCCCGCGACCCGACCCCGGATAGGCGGAAGAAAATGGATGGATGGATGGATGGATGGATGGATGGAATAATAAAACTCAAAACACTTGATTTTCAGACATTTTTTTATTTATTTTTGATGCTTTTTGCAGCGACTGTGCAGCCTTCAATTTAGCAAAGACCCTTGGAAAGCAAATCATTAGAGTCCAGATCAACTTTTACAACTTTGAGAACAATGAAGCACAAAGCTGAAGCCTGTTTGTCCTGGTTATGTTTGTATTGCTGTACTGAAATTAGTGACAAAGCTCCTCTCGTTAACTCATAGTTGTATGAGCAGTACAGTTCTGTATCTTTGTGTAAGTCCATCACAAATGCTTCTGTTGTCAGTGTTAGAGTGAGAGACTCTTTTGCTTCCTTCTCCTTTTATTTTAGGGGCTCAGGCTGACTTTCCCCCCTGAAATAGAAGGAGAAGAGTAGCTTGGTTAGAGTCAATCTTTCCTCAGACACCAAACCCTGCCAGTTACCATCAACCAGTTAAACAAATGAGAACACGAGTTATGCATTTAGAGTAAAATAAGACTATTTCTGTTTCTCTGAAGTCAACTTTAGCTGTCCCTGTAATCTGCTTGTTTCTAATCCTGTCCATCAGCCCAAACAAAAATCACAGCATCTTCATCTCTGCCACCTCCAGCTCAGCCTCCTGGTTTTTAACCAGAAGTAGAACCACAGTTTCCAAACCTCATAAGGTCATTTAATAGTCATTATCCTTACATTGAGAGTCCTCACTTTACCCTTCACACTCCTGCTTTTCCATTTCTCTCACTGCCTCCTCTCTGTCCGTTAACCAACAACAGCTTAATTTCCACCAGCCACAGGCTGGTTCACAGCATCGGAGGAGGTCGTTAATCTAAGCTTTGACCAATCCAGTATTTGCGATTTACATATTTGTTTTGGTGCAAGTTTTATGGCAGAAGCCCTTCCTGAAAGAACCTTCTTTTATCCAAGTTTGGGACCAGCACTGGAAGTACACAGAGTGCCGTTTCGATAACTAATTTATCATTTCCCACAATGAAGGTACTAAACCCAACCCTCTGATCTGCATCTGAACAATGCCACCCCATCAAGTGAAACACCAGTTCAGTGAGTTACTCAGTGACACGTGGCTGAACTCAGAATCTGATACTTACTGTTCTGTATCTCGTCACCTCCTGCGTCCTGCACAACAGAAACAAATCACATTGTCACAGATGGTCAGCCAGCCTGTGTACAGCATGTCTGTCAAGGATGGATAACTCACCAGCTTTGCTACAGGCTGAGGCAGCATGCGGCCAATCCCATTGACGATCCAGCCCATCATACTTTAAATAAAACAACAACACAGCATCAGAATAAAGCAAACACTCTCTGCATCTTGACACAATCATACAAAACATCAGAAACTCCATGAGATGTGTGAGGACCCTGAACTCTTTCCCACTCAGAAGAATTAATAGCAACAATGTTAATGTGAGCGAAGGAATGAACACAAATCTGAACGGAGGAGAGGAGTTATAATAAAATGATTTATTAAATAAACAAAAGGCTGACGTGGCAGCAAAAATAACAAGAAAACTCAGGGGACAACAAGGGACCATAACAGGAGGTAAAAATCAAACAATGAACCAGCGAGGGTGTGGAGAACTGAACCAGAATAAATACAAACAGAGGGAATGAGGAGATGAACAACAGCTGAGAAAATACTAATTAGAAAACTACTGACAGGTGTGTGTGACAGAGGAGGAAATGACAGGTAAACTGAGGGAAAAAGAGGCGTAATGATAACGAGGGAACACAAGAGGGAGGTATGACACAAGACAACAAAACACACATCCTCACAAGCAAACTGATTTTAGGGGATTACCTTGAGGATGTAGACAAAGAAAATAACCTGAACATAAACATGGACATAGTTTTGTTTCTTTTATCCATTCATTCATTTTATTTGTGGTCAGGTTGAGCTTGAATGTGGGAGGAATTTGGTGAGGCCTTGGAGACTTAATCTCAGAAAGGAAATCTGGAAAACCATCGGGTGGTCTATATGAGGTATCAACACTGTGTAGTGGAGGTGGGTGCTGCTGAGTTCAAGCAGTGATGTTGACAGTCAATGGAAGGAATACTGAGACTTTCTCAGTCCCACCAACATGTCTTCCATTGAGGAAGACGAGATGGGTGACTTAGGGTCTGTCCGTGGGGTTGAAGCTGTTGAGTTTGTTAAAAATCTCCTCGTTGCAAGTCTCCAGAGGTGGATGAGATCAGTCAAATCTCAAGATTCTGGGTGTTGCTGGGCTGTCTTGGTTGATTTTGCAACATTGCATGGACATTGGGGAGTGTGCCACTGGACTGTCAGATTGTGGTAGTGGTGTCCTTCTTTACAAAGGGGGTCCAGAGGGGTGTTACAATTATAGGAGTATTATTCTCCTTAACTTCTCTAGTAAGGTCTAATGGGTAGTTGCAAAAGCAAGACGGACCGATGGTCGAACATCAGATTAAGGAGGAACAATGCAGGTTGCCTCTTGGCCATGGAACACTGGAACAGTTCTTTACCTGCACTACGGTCCTCAAGGGTTTGCCAATCCAGTCTACAAGTGTTCTGTGGACTTGGAGAAGGCATTCATCCATGTTGTTTGAAGTACAATGTTGGGGGTGCTCTGCATGGGATTATGGGTCTGTTGCTATGGACCCTTCAGTCTCTACAAATAGTGCCAACATTTGATTCACGCTCCTTCAGGGTGGGGGTTGGACTCAGCCAGGACTGACCATTGTCACAGATTCTATGGGCAGAATTTCTTGGCGCAGCCTGGGGGTGGAGAAAGTTTGATTGCCTCAGGATTTCATTGATGCTATTTGCAGATGATGCAGTGTTATTGGTGTTATCGTGCCGTGATCTTCAACCCTCGCTGGAGTGGATTGTGTCAGCACCTGCAACTCTGAGGCCATGGTTATCAGTTAGAAAAAGGTGGATTAGTCTTCAGGTTGGGGGTGAGGTTCTGCCTCAAGTGGAGGAATTCAAATATCGTGGGGTTTTGTTGACAGATGTATCGCTGCAACGTCTGCAGTGTTGCAGACTCTTTGCCAGTCTGTTGTGGTGAAGAGAGAACTGTAAGGAGAAGCTGTCTGTTTATCTGTCTATGTTGTTGCCCTCATCTATGGTCACAAACTTTCAGCAGTGACTGAAAGAACAAGATCACAAGTAGAGGTGGGCAAAATGAGTTTCCTGAGCTTAGAGATAGTGTGAGAAGTTCAGTCAACCATTCTTCATAGCTTATCTGAATACCTCAAGTTTTTCATCAGCAACTAAACTCTGACACTTTGAAGAACTTGAACTTTTCTAAAATACCAAAACTTTGCTTTGAAAAATTTGGTGTTAACATTACTTTTATAAAGTTTGAAGTCCGTGCTGTCCAATCCAGGCCAAACGAACACTGTTTTATACAGAAGCCCTGTGAAAGCATCACAGCTTTGCTGATCTCAGAGGGCTAAAACAAAAAAAAAATTTCTGTATCCGCATTGTGATCCGGAACATCACCAAAATGTAAAGGTGTGTTACTTGGGCCAGTACCCACATGTGGTAAAAATGTCATGACAATCCGTGAAGAAAAGCAGAATTATTTGAACTGTTCATTATTCCCATTCTATGAATATTTCTTCGCTAAAAATTGGGCCTAAAAATATTTTAACATTATTTTTTAAATTGTTTATGTTTAAATGCAAAATAAGTTAAAAACAAACAATATTTCCTTACTTTGGTTGGTCGTCTGCTTCCTTCACAGGCCTTATAAAAAGGGATAAAACACAGGAACATTATTCTGTTTCTCTTTCTTAGAAGCTGTATTTAGTAAAATATTTTAAAATACTGACTTACTCGGTCCTTGTAGTTGATTTCGTGGCGGGAGGAGGAGCTGGAGGTGGAACTTTGGTGGTTTACAGGAAACAAAATGTCTCATCACAACTGATTTTCCAGTTTTCGACTCTAACATTCTCATTTAACTTTCTTTCTATTTAAAAATAAAACTGTGATGTAAATGATTATCAGAAGTGAGGAAACCTTTAGTGGGAGCTGGAGCTTCAGTCTTGTTGTTTCCGTCAGTCTTTGGGTAGATCTCTGGCTGAGGAACCACTTTCACAATGCCATGTTTGATCCAGTCAATCACACTGTGACACACACGTACGGTTTATGTAGCTAACTTTCATTCTAACAACAACCTGACACTGTTTAGTTTCAAACACTAATCTGCTTTCATTTCTCTGAAGTGTCTTTTTGCAAACTGAAAATTAAATTTTAAAAGAAAGAAAAATACTCAAAATTAATTTCACTTGTTTCATTTTAAACACATAAAACATTTATTATTTATTTGTTTTGAAAAGAAGGAAGGAAGACTACTGAACCCGCAAGGGGACATGGGGGATTTTTTTTTCTTTTTGCGTTCCCACACAAAAGTATCGCGTTACCTCGCAAAAGTCGTTAAACACTGTTTTGCCTACAGCTTTATGAACACACTCACATGTTCACCATTAGTGAGTTAGCCTACTGCTTTAATTCAGCTTCAGAATGAATATATCACACAGCCAGGCATGGAAGTATGTCATATGTTGATATTTTAACACAGTGCACGCAACATCAATGTCAACTTCACGAACTTGTGGCGACACATCCTGTTTTGGTAACTGGATATTTCAAAATAAAAATCTGATTTAATTCAGTTCATATACAAATCAAACTTTTGCGTGGAAACGCAAAACAATATTGCGAGGTAACGCAAAATTATTGCGAGGAAATGCAAAAGTATTGCGAAGCAACACAAAAGTATTGCGAGGTAACACAAAAGTATTGCGAGGTAATGCAAAAGTATTGCAAGGTAAAGCAATACTATTGCGTGGGAATGCAAAGGTATTGCGAGTTAACGCAAAAGTATTGCGAGGTAACGCAAAAGTATTGCGAGGAAACGCAAAAGTATTGCGAGGTAACACAAAAGTATTGCGAGGTAACGCAAAAGTATTGTGAGGAAACGCAAAAGTATTGCGAGGTAACACAAAAGTATTGCGAGTTAACGCAAAAGTATTGCGAGGTAACACAAAAGTATTGCGAGGTAACGCAAAAGTATTGCGAGGAAACGCAAAAGTATTGCAAGGTAACGCAATACTATTGTGTGGGAATGCAAAAGAAAAAAAATCTCCCGTGTCTCCTCACGAGCAGTAGAAGACAGACCTGGGTGGAGATGACTTTTCGGTTTGTTCTACTTCCGTTACAGTAGTTTGAGTTTCTGTGGGTAAAGATCAAAAAAACTGATGAGTTGAAACCTCGAGACGTGTTTCTGAACAAAGTTTCAGGTATGTTCTCACCTGGTGGAGCTGCTGTTTGATGCACCTGTGCAGAAAACAAACACACTTTCAGTAAATGCTCATAAGGATGTAGATCCAAATGTTCTGTTTTACACTAAAATAAAGACAGAATTCAGTATGCAGACCTGAAAAGGCCCCGCCCCTTATGTAAAACTGACAAATGAAGGCCCTTTCACCACAGGTGTTCATGCCTCAGCTGTGAAATACCTGAGCCTGCTGCTCTGCTGCAGACAAGTCTTTACTCTTCAGCTCAAGCTGAGGAACAACTTTCTCCAAACCCTGAGAAATCCAGGCAATCATCCCTGTCCTGTGGAGAAAACACAGATCACTTATCTGCAGCGTGTTTTCACCAACCAGGGACAGACATCCAGGAGGCTGAGCTACTCAGTGTCCTGTCTGTTTAATGGCTTTTAAAGCAGCTCACTATTTGGCATTCCTGCCTGTTCTTATTTTCAAAGCAGATCACTATTTGGCATTCCTGCCTGTTCTTGTTTTCAAAGCAGCTCACTATTTGGCAGCTTACAATCAGAGTTACTCACTCATCTTCTGGTTTACTGTTCAGAGAGAGAAAACACACAGAGGAGCATCAGTAAAGGCTGCGGGCAAAATTAAAGATAAAGTATTTGACCAAAAACTGGTCACATCTTAAGAAAAGCTCGGTCTGAACTCTGGTATGGTGGGCAGTCACTCGTGGTTGAGAGCAGTCCAGTTTGGACTCTCTGATGATCAGAACCTTTGTAGTGTGGAAGCTCATGTGTCTGCTGCACCTGAGGATCAGTGTGGAAATGTGTCTGATTTCACTGAAGGCCTGGTTTGACCCTGACCTGTGTGTGTGTGTGTGTGTGTGTGTGTGTGTGTGTGTGTGTGTGTGTGTGTGTGTGTGTGTGT